AGGGAAGTGCGGATCCGAGTCTGCTTGTAGGTCTTCCTTGATCTTAGAAAGCTGGGGGTCGGCTTCCACTTGAGACCGTATTGTTTGCATGTCCAAGATAGATAGAGAGGTGATGGCCGACAACTCTATTGGCGAAGAAACTCATGATAACGCATCTGCAGCCTTGTTCTCTATTTTCGCCTATACTGGATTTCGAAGTTATACCCCATTAGTTTGGCGACCCAACGCTAGAACTCTCCTTGAATTAATCTCTGATCCAAGATATATTTCAAGCTCTGTTGATTAGTTCGGACTATGAAGTGATGCCCCAAAACATAATGCCTCCATTTCTGAATAGCTAGTACAATGGCCATTAATTCTGTCTCGTAGACTGACTTGAGATAAGACTTATTTGAGAGTACTTGGCTGAAATATGCAATGGGTTGCTGATTTTACATAAGGAATGCCCCAATACCAAGACCTGAAGCATCTGTCTCGATAATAAACAGCTGGGAAAATATGGGAGTGCTAGAACTGGTACAGTTGTCATTGCCCTTTTTAAGCGTTGGAAAGCCTTTTCGGCCTCCGGTGTCCAACCAAAGGCATCCTTCTTGAGTCGTTGAGTAAGAGGCCATGTAATCTTTCCGTATCCTGCTACAAACTTACAATAGTAACCTTTTAGCCTAATAAAACCGTGAAGCTCCTTTAGATTTCGAGGGATAGGCCACTGTTCCATGGCTACAATCTTAACTGGGTCCGTAGCCACTCCATTCTCTGAACCAAGTGTCCCAAGTATTCAATTTAAGACTGAGCAAACACACACTTCTTGGCATTGGCACATAATTGGTAGAGGTCAAAGCTTCGAATACGGCTTCCAAATGCTGTTCGGTGTGCTATGGAGTCCTTACTATAGATTAAAATGTCGTCAAAGAATGCTAACACGAACTTGTGTAAGTACTATCAAAACACCTTGTTCATTAATGACTGAAAAGTGGTTGGGGCGTTCGTAAGGTGTAAAGGCATTACCAGGAAAGCGTTTTGTGGACATCTTCCTTACGCACCTTGATTTGGTGATAACCTGACTTCAAATCTAGTTTAGAGAATATTGTCGCCCCGTGGAGTTCATCTAAGAGCTTATCGATCACCGGTATAGGGAACTTGTCCGGTAAAGTAACCCGATTCAAGGCCCGATAATCGACGCAAAAACATCGACTACTATCCTTCTTTTTAACTAACAAAACTGGGCTAGCAAAAGGGCTTACGGTGGGTTGTATTATTCCAGCAGTCAACATCTCCTTTACCAAACGCTCAATTTCATCCTTTTGGAAGTGAGCATACCGGTAAGGGTTCACGCTAATGGGTTCAGTTCCTTCATATAAGCGGATAGCATGATCTGTGTCTCGACTGGGAGGTAGTGCTTTCAGTGGCTCTAACACGTGCTAATGGTGTTGCAAGACTCTACATCCCCTTGCAGGTAACTTAGCACCACTCCACCATTCATGAGCAATTGCAGACATACTTCCCAATTCCACCCACACTCACTGTCCTTCATGTTGCAAAGTCCTGACCATGTCTTTGAGTGACATGCCCGTTTTGTAAAGCCCCGGTTCTCTCTTCAACATTCTTATTGACTCTCCCATTCAAAACTTCATAGTTAACAATTTCCAATTAACTTCCATATTTCCCAAGGTGCCAAACCACTACATTCCCAGAATTACATCGGTGTCTCCTACCTCCAAGGATAAAAAATCCTCTACAATTGTCAGTCATTGTACTTCCACCACTACCCCTTTTCAAATTTCCTTTCCTTTGACCAACAACCCAGTTCCCATGACGACCCCATAATTTGTGGTTGCCATAGTCGTAATCTCTAGCTACCGAATCAAGTCCAGAGATAAAAAATTGTGCGTGGCTCCACAATCTACCAATATCACTACTTCCTTCGAGCCCACTGCTCCCCGTACCTTCATCGTGCTTGGAGCTATCAACCCCACAACTGAATTGAGCGATAGCTCCACCGATCTACCATCTCTCATGGCTGACAATCCGCAGCAGCCTCCTCTCCATTTTTTCCCGAATTCCTCATCTTCTTGTACTAGTAGGACTCTTAATTCCCAGTTCTTACATTGATGTCCCAAGGTATACTTCTCGTCATACCGAAAACATACCCCTTTCTCACGTCTCGTTTGCCACTCCGTGCCGAACATTCTCTTTACGCGAAATTCTTTGTGTAGAATTGAGGGCTTCTCCCCAATTGTTATGGATTGATTGGGAAGGTGTCTTTTGAAGCCCAACGATTTATTGGGGGTAATGGGCTTGTTACCTTTGGGCCCCAAAGGCTCATGGGCTGCCTTCATAACCCGATTTTTGTCCTCCACTCTTTGGGCAACCTCCATTAACTGGCCCAAACCTTTAGGTTGAAAGAGTCAGATTTCAGCCCTTACGTGGGCTTTGAGCCCATTGATGAAAGTGCTCTCCATCACTTCTTTTGGTATTTACATCAAGGCTGCCGCTAGCAATTCAAAGACGTGTCTAAACTCTGCCACCAATCCTTCTTGTCGGATTGCCAGAAATTTCTCTCACAGATTTCCCTCATATGTGGGAGAAAACGAAGCAAAAGCTGGTCGTAAAACTGTTCCCAACTCTGGAACGACTTTCTAGCTTCCGCCCACTGCAGCTATAAAAGTGCTTCACCGTCCAAGCTTACTCCTACGATGTTTAATTTCTCCTTTTCTATCAGCCCATTAACCTCGAAATACCGTTCTACACGGTATAGCCATCCATCTAGATTATCCCCACTAAACACACGCATTTCCTATTTTTGCACTCGTCGCCAATCGTTTGATTCCCTTGTTTGCCCTGTGTTAAATGTTTCACTGACATGGATCTTTTCGCCTGGAATTTATGGCTCCTTTCCTTTATCCACCATTTGCCAACCACTTAAGGGTTCACTGAGTCCACAGTTTGTCCTTCCAGTATACTTCCCGACCGTTCTCCTGTTTGGTTCTGGTTGGTTACTACTTAGGAAAGAGAAAGAGCTACGACTGCCTTTGGATCACCTCCTACGTTTGTATCATCCTGGCCATATTCTGGGTTAACAGTTCCATGGAATGCTCGAGTCCTGGCGGGCTTTGGTTTAGCTGCTCCATATCCTTTTCTACCACTTCCACTCTGCTATCAATTTTCATCTGTGCCATCAAGAGCTTCTCGCTCTGACGCCACTTGATAAGACTCTAAGAGGCAATTTAAAAGCTGCCATGGAAAACAAACAGTTGAGAACTAGAATTTTATTGAAAAGGAAATCTGATTACTAGATTACAAGGAATAGGCAATAAGAAAAGAAACACTACTTTACTCAATACTTCAGTCTGCTCTACCCTTCTTCCCTCTACATCTTTATATGGGCACCAATTAACTGAATTCTGTTTAGCTCCTCCCTTCTACCAGAATTCGATATTCAGCTCTATTGTTTCCTGTTACTGGTCCACTAGGCTTCCTCCTCCTTCTAGAATATGTGTATGTAATTGGGGGCCTGTCATAGAGCACAGGCAGAACTATGAGCTGGGCGCAAGGTATTTTGGTCCTCTCCAGATTATGAAGAAAATTGGGATAGTAGCATATCAATTGGCACTACGTGAGGGTTCAAAATTCCATCCAGTTTTCTCTGTGTCGTTGTTGAAAATGAAGTTAGGTGATAAACATATGCCGGTATTACAGTTGCCAATTAATAGTCATTCCCAACAGGTAGAACGTTACCCAAACTCCATCTTAAAGTGAAGGATAGTGGAGAGTTGGATCCGCACAGCAATTGTTGATTCATTTGTCAGATCTTCCACCTGACAGTACAACTTGGGAGAATGTGGAATGGGTTAAAGCTAAATTTCCCAACTGTAGATTTTTGGGACAAGATCGAAGTGAGGAAGAAGGTTGTTACGTGATGAATAGCTAGGGAAATAGAGGAAGAGGAACTACCAGATAGAAGCAGAATTACAAACCAGAAAAAAGGGAAAAAAGAAGGAACCAACGGACTTAACGGACTTTTAAATGGAAACTGTGTCATTTGGTACTAAATGGAACTGTGTTGCTTTATTCCAGTAATTGTTGTTATTTGTTAGAATTCGTCTTTTACTTTTGGGCTTGGGAAGCACAACTTTATATATGTATACAACCATGTGCGAAGAGGGAAGATAGACTGATTTTTCTGCCAAATTGGTGGTTAATTTTGAAGTGATTCAATCCAGTCCTCTCCTTCTCATTCTTATTTTACATCATTTAATCTGTCTCCCATCATTTTTTACTTTGAATTTAGTATCATATATTCCTTATTTCAACTGGAGTAAATTCCAGTGTTGGTTTGTGCGACGCTCTGTTTTGCGAGTTCTAGTCTAGCGCGTAACAATTCTATCATTCAAAGGCTTGATTAACGGTATTTAACAACCTCCATTAGCAAACATTGGGGCAGCTTACATTTGCTACATCTTCCTTTCACGACTGTGCGTCCTTTGCGCGCTAAGGCCTCCTTTAGCTGGTTTTGCCACAACTGTTGGCTACTAGAGCCTCTGGTCATCATCTTTGAAGTTGTCACAGCATGTTTAAGGTCATCATTGAATGATCCATCTAGTCCTATGAATGGGCTGAAGTGATTCCAATTTGATCACCTTTACTGAACACAATTTTTTTAATGGAGAGACAATTTCCAATTAGGCTACAAGTTAGTCTTTTCTTTATTTGAACGACGCAAGTGCACACTTTGGCAACAACAACTCAAATGCAATAAGATGTATAGTAGACAGCAAGGAAACATTGTAGTCACCATTAAGAGCTAATTTTACTTTTTGTTTTGTGAATTGCAAATGTGGTGGCTACCATGGTCTGAATATTATGGAGAGGTTTATCAAATTTTCTTGAACTTAATCAAATTACTTGATAATCATGAAGTCCATAGGTAATTTCTCTAGCACACAGTTATTTAAAGATCTTCAAATTGGTTCCTTATGAGTTCTTTTGATTTATTTTGTCAGGATCTGTTGTGATGTATGCTAGACGTGGTTCCATTGCAAGCGCGTGAAGATTACACCAGCTAGAGCCGAGCATATTAACCAATACAAGTGTCCTTCATGCAGTAACAAGAGAGCCTGTGCTTGATGTGAAATATTATTATCTGTACTCTTGATAAACGTCCAAATCTTTGTTGTTTAGGTCATTTCTTGTTTGAGTATAATGTGGAGAATTAACCTATGAATAGAACTCTTATTGGGCAGTCTTGCAATTGGTATAGTCTGTTCATGGACCATTACATTCTCTTGTAGAGTTTTCAGTTTTTTCTTTTGATGATATGATAAGAAGCACATTTAAATCACCCATAATCCCCCCATTTTCTCTTCTAAAATCGCTTGGAATTTACATTTTGTGTGAATGGATGGTTCTTTTTACACCCGTCTTGTTCTTTTAGGTTAACGTTTTGTCTTTTGAATTTGTCGGTATTGTCAAATCTTTTGCCATATGCTTTTGTCAAGTTCTTATTAGTCGGCAAGGTGAAAGAAATGTCATGGCCACGCCCTATTTTATTTTATATATTAGAGTTCTTAATTTTTGACGTATCATGCCTATCTATAATCAAAATCTGCATCTAGATAAAAAAATACAATTTCGAGTAATACCCAATCAATCTTCTTCTTTGTTACTCGGTACTACAAATTCATTCAAAGAATGAAAAAATTGCATCACAATTTGTTGAATTTGTTAATTGTGAGGTAGATAATAAATTGAATTTAAATGACAAAATGTGAAATATATTCATAAGAATAAGTGATCACGAACAATGAACAGTGCCTATGTGTGTTACAAATGCTTGAGAACCATCAGGCAATTGAACTTATACACATGTCTGAATGGTCGAATATGAAGAAAGAAAAAATGAAAGAGATGTACATATATGATTAGAAGCGCTTGAACCGATAATTCAACTAGAAAATAGACAAGTACCTGCCACATGAACTGATGATCTACCAGATTCTTCTTTAGATAGACTTGCAAGAAGCTTGTAGTATTGCTTATAAGTCAATTGACTAGCACAAGCAGTGAAAGTAGATGGCGATGTGCCTGATTTTTTATAGACTTATCTGGAGGCCATGGATCTGGTAACATATATTAGGAATATGACCATGCTTGTTACAAAGTTCACAAAAATGACGTTGGCGCTTTCTAGAAGGACAAAATGGTTGTTTAGACGCTTGAAGCACAGTCGAATCAACGGTAGGAACTGTTTGAATATTAAACTCTTATAGTTTTTCTTCTTGATATACCAAATTGTAGATACGTTGAATTGAAGGAAATGGCTCCATCAAGAAAATTTGACTACGAATAGCTGAAAAACAACCCTTGGAGTCCCTGAAGAAACTCCATGGAACAATCTTGATTTTGTTGATCAACAATATTTTTAGCACATATACATGAAGTGACTGAGGTAATGGAACTATGTCCATCCTATAAAGATTTAAGTTCTGTGAAATATAATGAAACAGACATGCGTTCCTACTTGAGGGCGGAAATCGACTGTTTCAATTGATAGATTTAAGGAGCATTTGATTGAGAAAAATGATCCTTCAGATCCATCAAAATTTGTGCTACAATTTCAGAATACAAGATACTTGGACGGATTTCAGGTGAGACAAAATTAAGAATCCAACTTCCAACCAAATCATTACAACGTTAGAAGTTGGAAACGTCATCTTTCTCCTTTGAAATTGGAAGTGATCCACCAACAAAACCAAGTTTGCTTCTTGCACGAAGTGCCATTGTTACTGCATGACTCAATGATCCATAATTTTGTCCAGTCAATAGAGGTGTAACAAGAATGATAGAGGGACTATCTGAATGGTGAATAGTATAAAGGTCTGATTTGATGGATGGCAATGACGATGATTATGTGATATTGGTGGCAACAGTTTTATCAGACATTGTGAATGAATATGAGATTGGAAAATGATATTGTTTACAACTCTAATACCATGTGAAAATGGTTAAAAGGAAAATGAGAAGAAGAATATGTTTTGTGAACTGTATGTGTATTTCATTCAATTGTTATAGGGGAAATTACAAGATTCGGATATACACAAAGAGGGAAAATTGACAACTCTAAAATCTAAAAGATTAAAATTTATAAGATTTTATCTCCACCCAATACCTAGATTGCTCAAAATACATTGAAGTGGCTACCGAGTGACAATCCAAGTAAAACATGTTCTTAAAGTAGCACTTTTAAATGGGTCTGGGTTTGGACTGATCTTGTGAGGGTTGGACCACTTGGTTTGTTTCCAATTTAGGCCTAAACCTGAAGATCAATCATGGATCATCACTGCCACATGCTGGGCATCGCAACCCGACCATAAGTGAATAATCTATTATAATGATAATACATTATAACAACATAACAATGTTAAACGACAATTCTAATCTTCATAATATGCATGATAATGTCTAATAATATGCCAACAATAGGTGCCACAAGGTATTTATGATAACACATGCATGACTGACAAATCACAATGGTTGTGTGGCAAACTCCAATAAACACACAAAAAAAAAAAAAAAGATTTTTATAAACAACAATTTTCAAAAAGTGTTTTATGCTTGGTTGTTCTCTTCCTCATCTTCTAACTCTTCCACTTCGCCGCTCACATGAGACTCCGCATCGCCTTCATCAGTTCCCAAGGCTTCTAAAAACACCAAAATTTAGCATACTTCATTTTTACACTATTTACGTTTAAAAGAGTTTCCTCTAAAATTCAATTTAAAATATATATTAGGTAATACTGACATTATCTGCATGCATTATTTTGTTATTTACAATTAGATACAAAAGAACTTTTTACTAATTTTTACTTGGTGAAATGTAAATTCAATAAAAGCCTGGATAAAAACCGATGTCTTCATAATTGGAACATGAATATTGATAATAAATTTCAAGGCAAAATCTAAATGGAACTAGAGAAAAACTGTACATTCATACCTTCTGTAGCACTTGCACGAAGTTCTTGTATATCCAAGTGCACCTCACCACTTGAAGCAATAACAATATTCTCATTGCTAGGAGTTGGGCCCAAAATACCATGGTTAGTATGTTTGAGAAAAGTACGCCATTCGTCAATAGATATTGATTGATTAAGTGATAGATTAGGAATTTCACGCTTCTGAAGAGCTTCCAAAATGCCTTGAGTTTCTCCCAAAGTGTAACTTGCCTCCTCTATACTTTTCTCCCGTTCTTCTATGGCGCTATTGCTGCATTTCTTGAGTATAAGACAAGGTAAATTGGTCAGGCATGCAGCAAATATATCTGCAATGATAACTGACAATCTCTCAAATACTTGAGTATCTGATGCTGAATGATAGCTTTCCTCATAGACCAACAGCAAACTATTGCTTATTTTGTACATTGAATTGGCAATTATGATATTTTCAGGCAAGTTAACTGAGCTTTCCACAGCATTTCCATTCATTCTACTCGTAAATTTCTTCAAAATTTCTTCACTTCTATTTGCAAGATTCTGAAGAGTTTCTTTGGAGGATTTTGATACCGTGGCAACTTCTTGGAGATCCATGTCTAACCACTTGTGCCTCATTTCAACTAAACCCCATGCAAAATCTGCTGCACTCGTGCTATTCACAATTTTTTTATGAACATCCAAACTTTTCTCTATTGGGCGCACATACTTAAAACCTTCCATGACACTTCTTAACAACAGATTCTTCTCCTCATTTTGAACGTTTGGAAGAGCAATCATGATGCTTGTTAGCGTTGCCACGGATAGACTCCAGCAATTAAGAGGTTCTTCGCAAATTATTAGAGAGACTTGATCACTTTCAAATTTTAGCACACCCTCGAAGCTGGTGGATTTCTCCATAAGCTTCATTAGACATCTTGGCTGACGCTTTGCACCCGTCGTTATGAATGAATTGATAGAAGCGTTAATGAACATCAGGTGTACTTCTTGTACTGCCTCACTTTCTAGAAGTACAAAATAATTTTCAAGATCTTTCTCATAACCAAGCCTGTGTTCTGATTCAATGGGATTGACTGAGGCCTTGGATTCCCCGGAGAAAAAATTCTTTATCATATTGAGCCATCTAACGGTCACGGGTTGGAGCAGCACAGAAACAAATAGTGTCGAGCTTAATAGGTTCCCAATTAGTTCCCAATAACTACATTGAATCTTGACTCCTTTGAGGTAAATTAAATAAAGTAGGCATGCCCAAAGCAATTTATTCATGATCACAATCACTATCTGAGTTATTATACAAATGTTGAGAAGTAGATTTCTAGTTTCATAAATAATATTTCTAAGCTTTTGGTTTCGAACTTGGGATGGTGGGAGCCTCTTTTTCCACTCTACCAATCTGTTGATCCTGTAACTTTTTATTTCTAAGGAAATACTTGAGATGGTATATTTTTTAATATTCCCTAAAATGTAAAGTATAGCTAATTCCATTCTTCCAATAGACATGAACGTGCAAAGACCTATGCCTGCATATTGAGCATAATAAACTAGATATACTGACCATTTATAGTCGGAAGCAATTTCTGGCTTATTGTTTGTAGTCAATTCTAATCCATCAATAGAAAAAATAAATGCATAGATCAATGATAAAACCCAAAAGTCGTCAGACCGTGCCATCACTAATCGAGGGTCACCTGTTTCTGCCATCACCCAGTACTTCTTCACATGATACTTTAACTTGTCGAAGACCATTATTTCGTCTCGTTGTAGTTCCTCTGCTGAAATTCTTGCGTGCAATGCGTTATACTTATGCTCCAAATGCATTTTTCTTGTAGATACTGTTAAAGCAGAAGAAATCAACATAAAGAGCATATAAACATCTATAACTACAACCACCACTTGGAAATAATCTTCAATCACGCCTGATAATACTTGGATGATAACATCTACAGTGTGACTCACTTTAAGGATACCAACTGCTGTCAAGTTCACAATAATTTCTCTAGCACTCATGGATCCCAAAGAAGGAATGACATGAGCAGTTGAAGCACACAAGAAAGCAATGCTACATCTTTTAGCGGCTTGATCATACGTACCTGGCATCGGGGTAGTTAGATCCATTGGTAACTTCACTGCGATGCCCATCAGAGCCAAGAAAGTAGCATTAAGAGCAGCATATCTGCAGGGGAACCATAATTTTCTATGGCGCACAGAGTGCATTTTATCCGCAAAAAGTAAAAGTGTCCATATTCCAGATGCTACAGCAGCGTATACGCCTATCCAGGGCATTGGTGATTTAGAGTCAATCATTTTGTTGAATCATTCAGCTCTCTTCCAGCGACTGCACTTTGGATTTTAAGATGGGGATGTTCGAGGTCGTAGGAAATTTCTTTGTTATTTCAATACAACTTCAGATTGTATTTTCTACCCGTTGATGTATCCAAAAAGAAAAACATATCCAATAAATTATTGGGTGAGGTTTAGAGTGGGAATTCTTTTGGATTAATAAGAGGAAATGCCCCAGGCCCCTAGCCTTGAATGTTTAGTTAGTATGCTACTTAATAAGAGTAAATTATCATTCACACGTTAATGCTCATGATATTATATTAATTGTTGACTGACTTAAATTTTCATCAATTATTTATGCTAAGCCTAAAATGGACAAGGTTCCTTTTTGAGCTTTCAATCTTGGTGCAAGGCATCTTCCATGTAACTTCAAGTCATCGATCATATTTCAATTCCACAAAAGTTGATGTATCTAGAGAACTTAAATTTTCTTTTTCAAGTCTTTATGTTTTACTATTTTTTGTATCCTAACGTTAAAGGACAACTTATAAATAATCCAAATTTATCGGGTCATTGTTACTGCACTACTTTGGATTCAAGAGTAGTGGGAATTTCCAAAGAAACTTCAGCTTTTATTTTGAACGCTTTGATGCATCCATTAAAGAAAATTATATCCAATAATAAAACCTTGCAATGAGTCATCTCAAGGATTATTTTGAATCATTCAATTGACTAAAGGGTATAGAAAATAATATATGTTGCGACTTGTGACTACATCATCATTCATATCTTATTAATAAATTATTCATAATATTGTTACAAATTGGAATCTCTAACTGATTTGTGCCTACTTCAGATTAACAAGTCAATGGCTGAGGTTTAGAGTCAGAATTCTTTTTGATTAACAAGAGGAAA